GCCTACTTTCATTACACAAGCGCGAAAACGTTTACAGCTTCACTTACAGCCAGAAAAAGTGCCGTTTCACGTCTTTGGCAAATCGAGCCATGGCAAGTCTCGACTGCAGCAGCTCTGCTATTAAAAAAAAAGCACCTTTTAAGGAGGGTAGATTTTAAAACATTAGCTTGACAGAAATAGTCTCTTTCATATTTCATAGACAATAAGTTACTGTGTACAATGTATTAAGGTATAACCCGAAGTACTAACTACAAATGATGCTGCACAGATTAAAACATATATTTGGCCTAAATTCTAAATTCTTCACATGTTTTATTGCTTTGAAATAGTGGGGCTTACGTTTTGGTACGAGGTAAATGACAAGAGTACAGGTGGTGTATAAAAAAACTAGATGGATCACAGCAATTCCAAAACAATCTTTGCCACTGATGAAATCATGAAATTTTGTAAGTGCGGATTCATTTAGTTGAAACGACAAATGAGCGTATCGCATCCATCACTCAACTTGTATTGCAGCGTTAATCGTGACATGCCATATATAGTTTTAGCACAAGCATTGAAGTGCCAAGAATGCAGATTACTGACGACACAAAGCCAAAACACTGTGATGGCCAACACAGCAATGATCCAGTGACAAATTCTTCATAACTGCAACAAAGTGTTTGAGCACAAAACAGCAATGAAAGGTCTAAAGCATAATAACCACAGGCAATAAGAGAACAGCTGCAAAGAATCCGACAGTACAAAACAGAGGCAACAGCACTCTTAGCATACAATAAATATAATACTGTACGAATCAACTATACAGAAGCCACCAGTAATGCACAAGTTGGATAAGTAAGGAACAGTTCCTCATGAAAGACAACATTTCATAACTAAACAAGTAAACTTTTAACACTTCGCATTTGAAGGGTCAAAATCTGAGTGATATTACATGAATGTGAAGTTGTAGTGAAGTGGCTTCAATGTGTTGTTTTATAGAACATATTTTGTTACCAATTTAAAAAAAACAGAATTACAGGCATCTAGTCTAATTACAAAATTGATAAAAAGGGATTCCAAGATGATGATGAAACAGGCATACTTCTATTCAAGCTTAAACTGTTTAATGCTCATAAACTCGAAAATGTTATCTAGATCCCACACAACAAGGCACCTGCTTTGGTTCTAATTGAGCAGACACAACTTTCTTGCAACAGGATATACTTCGACATTTCAAGAGCCTATATACAATGCCTTACAATGCACAGAGTTCATGCCACAAACTATTTACAGTTCCAAGTAACATAGCGCACACACGTTTCAATTTGCAATTCTCATCAGCAATTACGCAGAATGCACCTATGTATTTGGTAGGTGGCCTACTTGGCAGTAGTATAATGGTGCAATGGTTTCAAGTGCGTTATAGTGATTAGCTTGGAGAGGATATTGAGCTGACAATGAGCAAGTGTAGTTGTTCACAAGCACAATTACACGAGTTTTTTTTCAGCTCGCATTTACTGCAAAGAAGTATAAAAAAAGGAATGTTTTGATTACATTAAATGCATACATTGCATGCATGATGATGTTCGAGGGCAATTAATTAATCCATAATATGACGACTAAAACCACAGCTTTAACGTTACACTATGTAGCAACACACCGCCACAGTACTTAAGGATAAACAGTCATAAGTACCTTTACAGAAACCAAAACAAAACAGCAAGCGGCAGAGCTTTTGATAAAATGACTACTGGCATTCATGCTGACGCAGGTGCCTTCTGAGGTGGCCACTCTGCTTGTATGTCCGGGCGCATGACGGGCACTTATGCGGCCGCTCGCCCGTGTGGACACGCAGGTGAACATTCAAGTGGTATCGTCGAGCGAAGCATTGGGAGCACACATGGCATTTGTACGGCCTCTCGCCTGTGTGGATGCGCATATGCAGCTTCAGTTTGTGCTTTTGCGAGAATTCTTGCGCGCATGTAGGGCATTTATGTGGCCGCTCACCCGTGTGGATTCTCAGGTGAACATCCAAGTTGTGTTTTTGAGGGAAGCTTTGAGGGCACAAGTGGCATTTATATGGCCGCTCGCCGGTGTGGGTGCGAAGATGTTTATTCAATGTGGACTTGTCATTGAAGCTGATCGAGCACAAGTGGCACTGATGAGGCCGCTCGCCTGTATGAACCACTGCATGCTGTTTAATGCGAGACGTTTTATCGGTCGTGTAGCCACAAATGTTGCAGCGATGACGGTGTTGCCGATGCGACTTTTCAGCATCCACAGTTCTTGGATTGATGACATACTCCGAAGCTGCAAAAGAGCACAGGTTCAATTTCATTGCATTTATTACACCTTATTAGGGCATGAAGGCATTAAATAAGGTGAGGCATAAACAGATTTAAACAAAATTAAAAAATGAAAACAGGAAATCGACGAACGGAATTATTAATAAAGTTTGTGGTGCAAAGGCTAATTACACAGGGTCAAGGCAAAGTGACACAAATATGCATTGATGTGATCAATAAGTGACCATTGTTAAGCAAAGAGTGGTTGTAAGAAGGCCTAAACTCCCGCACGCTAAATGTGCGTGAAATAGTTATAAATATTAAAATTATGACAGTAACATAAAATGTGTGGAATGAATGTCGCACATGTACTTCTAGGAGGAGCATACTGCGGCCATAGATAAATAAATGTGTAAGTAAAAACAGCAATTATTTGAATACCGTGGCATAAATTTGTTAATTGATGTCTCAGCATGAGAGATCAACTTACTTTTTACATGATGGCAGTGCTGACATCGTGATCAGTGATGATTAAAGAGCAGATTTTGGGGAAAATCCTATATTGTTCTTTGCATTCTTATCACCCTTCTTTGAGCCTGAATTAAAGGTTAAAGAGTGCTTTCATAGAGTTTCCTTACCACTCCTAGCACTTGTGCCCAAATACTGATAAGCACTTATAAATGCCTGGTTCCAATATTGGCACTGTTCTGAACACATTTAAAGCTCATTTTCGAGTCTATCCACGTTACCTGGCACCACTGACTATTCGAAGCTTTATGAGATTTAACCTAGTTCTCTAGCTCAACCACCCTCTAGGAAAGCAACCATTGGTAGCACTGAAATCAACTAGGCCAGCCATCACACACCACCACGATTACATGACAAGAGCATTTGGCGAATGCGAAACCATGGAGAGCCATCAGGGGAAGAGAGAGGAAAAATTAAGTGAAAAAAAGAGTGTGACGTGCATGCTTTTTTTTTTTCATAATATCTTGTGTGCTTTTGTGGCATTGCTATAGACTGATCGAAGAAGTGGACATTATTTGCCCTGAAAAAAAAAAAACACTTCTGTCACATCAAATAATTGAACCTTTGTTGCACCACTGTCATGCAGATAATCAATCAAAGAAAGCTGTGCGCTGAACTGTTACCTTTTTGTACAGCTATTGGAGTAAAAACAGGCACACTAAAGTGCTCACGACCACACAGCTTTCCTGAATAAGCTCATCAACTGTCCTTCATGTTCATTTCTTGAAGAACTGAATAAGAAAAAAATGTCAATGTGTGTTCGCAATTATTTTAGCTCATTGCCGAAGAATATGATATTTATTTCTTATTCAGTATCGAAGACCGGTATATATGATGCAAATAATGAATTAAGCCACATTATAGCAGTGCGTAGAAGGCGGTACACAACGTCAATGTCCACAAATTAAAAAAAATACGAGAAACCTGACATAGTGCAAAAGTACGGACAGTCGCCAAGCACAAATGTCTATTTCATTGGCAGATTGTGTTACACAAGCAATGTTGAGCCAGCTCTGTGCATCCATTCAGCAATGGACAACATACATAAATTACGAGTAGGCTACCGTCAATGCATTTTATTAGCCAAAAAACTGCTTGCACTGGTCATAGAGTTTCCTAAAAATAACTAGAGCAAACTCTGGGAGCTGCAATCATTCAGCCACTATGGTAATGATGGGTAGCACACAGACTTGCGTAGTCTTCGTGCTTGTGGGCTTTGAACTACTTGTGGTTTTATTAACTGCTGTGTTTTAGTTTAGTTTCAAATTAAAGAACAAATCGTCATGAACTTTGCGGCCCAATTTGAATTAGTGAGCCTAAAAGGTTATGGGAAGTGCAACTGCTCGACATTTCCTGATTTTCATTTACAAACACTAAGTCAAACTAAGCCAAACAGAGCCAAAAGTATGATGATTACAAAACTTGTGTACACTACCCATTATTCCCATGCTTGCTGAAGCGTCAGTCCCATTGCATTCCCATTCCCATTGCAGCTCGCACAAACACACTGGAGACCATATTTTGGTGCATCACCTCCTCTATAAACTTACGACATGCTCATGCCGTCGCTCCCCCTGTAGCCATATTTGCTTGTCTATGTTTTACAGCGAAAGCTGTTATAACTGTTGTTGCATCTAGCAACAAGGCTACAAAAAGGGCGGTTGGTTTGAGAGTTGGCAAGCCCAGCTTTGAAGCTTGCTCTGCAACTTGATTGACTAGAACGGGGCAAAAGCCCACAGCTTTGTACGCCAGAGATGACCTTTGCCTGCTCCTTAGTAATGCTAAAAACTCTCTCCCTTTCAGGAAAATATATGTAGTGTGTGTTTGTGTGCGTGCATGCCCGCGTACACGACTGACGGAGTTAGAGAGACTTGCCCCCTAGACGCGGAGTTGATATGCCACTGTCAAAACGCATGAAGAACAACCAGCCATTATGCTTTGATATAGATGGCCCAATATAGAAAAAAAAAACAACATTTGAAGGATGCTGTATTTACAAGAGGTTAGCTTGAAACAAAAAGTAGTTTTATCCCAAAACAACCCACTGTAGGAAAAATGGTGAACACTGCAGACTCAAATGCTACCTGTTTGTGTCTCTGGGCTTATCTTGCTGAATTAATGACATACCCAATTACATTAAGACACTGCCTGGCACCTTGTTACAAGGACAGTGACTAAAATGCAGTTAACAGTGTATGAAAAAGCTAGCTGGTCCACATAACTTCTGCATCTGCATTTTATTACCAAAGAAAATTCATAATAGCAACCACATGTGTATTGACAGCGGAAACAAGCGTGGCAAAAGAAAAATGGCAGCTATGACATTATCATAACCTACTTTATTGACTGCAGCATGATGACGTGAGGGAAGTAAGGCGGTCCGCAAAGGGTCCTTTAGACAATGTCAATACCTTCAAAATTCAAATTTCAAAATTGCTGTAAAATACCTTTCAAGCTATATTTGCTATTGATATTTTGTCGATGATATACGCATGTTCACGGGAATCGATACTGCAGGCTATCTCGGCAGCAAAATTTTGTGTCAGTACCCCTTTAATAAGATGAGGTGAAGGAAAGTATACCGGATGTTATTAACAGTAATTGTGATGTAAATGTACAGAATAAAAGTGGACGAAAAGATAATTTGCAGATGGCAGGGATTTAACCTGCAAGCTTTTAATGATGCGCCCAATGCTCCACCAACTGTACTATAGCAGTGGTCATTCCTGTGTCTACTTTATATAATATATATGTGCATTTGAAAGATGGGAGTGTCATTCAGTGCCGGCAGTAGCCATTAGGACGAGTGTGGAGCACTCCATTCTTTTTTTTTTGCCCATTCACACGTGCAGGGAGGTAGAGTGTTGGCCGTGTCATTTGAAGGTGACAGGTTCGGTCCCTGTCAGCGACAAATCATCTTTTTGTCCCCTTTCTTTCTTCACATTTACATTAAAATTACCACTAACAGGCCCTATACTTCCCTTCGCATTATTGTCTGTTAGTTCTCACTAAATGGTGTCTAACAAAGAAAATGAGCCCTTTAATTTCCTTTACACATCACATAACATGAAAGAAACACATGAAATCTTGCAATTCCGACCGATTATTATATACCTACACATCTGACTGGTGACCTCCACTAGGCCATAGTGTAATGGAGATATGGTTTTACGTTTACAGTATTCAAATGCGTGGCTCGGAAAGGATATAGAGTTCACACTGAAGAAAAATGTGGTCATTGAACAGTAGAAATACACAATACAACTTATAATGATAATATACACCGGTACCAACAGCAGTGCAAAGAGAAAAATGATATGAAATGTTTCAATTACACATTGCTCCATGCACAAAGATGGTGTAAAAAAATGAATGAGGCCAGGCCATCACTGCTAGGACCACAACCTTAATGTTATGCCATGTATCTCAGCACTTTTCACGTTATTCTGGAACAACTCTTTAAAGGTGCCTTTACAAAAGCAAATAAACAAACACAAAAAACAACGACAGCAGAGCCTTTAATGAAAGGGTTGCTAGTGTTCAAGGTGATGCTTGCGTCTTTTGAGATGGCCATTCTTGTTAACTGTCTGGGGGCAAGAAGGGCATTGACACAGGTGCTGGCTCTTTTGGATGCACATGCATTTTCAGTTTGAACATTTGCCAGAAAGCTTGGAGGAGTCAAGAACCTTCATACCGATGCTCAGACGTGTGAATTAGCAGGCACACAGCCAACGCGGATTTTACCAAGAAGCTTCAGGGTCACAAGTGGTATTTACACAGCCGCTCACCCATATGGGTGCTAATGTGATCATGCAATGCGCATCTTTGAAGCTCTGTGGGCACAAATGGCTGCTCGCTATGTGAACCCTGATGAGAGGTGCCATGACTAATCAGTCTCATTGTCACTGAAGTTACACTGGTGGACGAGTCCCCTATGAGACTTCTCAGAATCTGTAGCTGCTGGATGGATAAGACGCTCCCATAGCTGCGTAAAGAGAAGATGGCAGGTTACTCAAAAACGAACACAAGCTTGGGAGTTTAAAAGGGCAAAGCATTTAACTATAATGAGTGATTCCGTAGCAAGAAAATCTAGGTTAATTTCAGAGCCTTAAATATATTAGCATGTTGAAGCACACAAGTGTTTTTGCGACTCACACGTATGACATTGGAGCCACTGTAACTGTAACTATGAAACGTAGAACAAATTAGACTAATGTTGATGCACACTACTTCAATCAAGAAGACTTGATGGCAACCAGCAACGAAGTACATCTGGTCAGCCTTCTATATTAGCTCTATAGAGACATATAGAGACATGTGCTTGATATGCTCTCACCATTAGGAATAAAGAAAGCCAGTTATTAGTTCAGCACTGACATTAACAGGCTAAGAGGATGCATAAATTAAGTAACACCAAGTATGACAAAGTGAAAAACAGAATAAGAAGACAATTGAAGACATGCTAAGCAGAATCAAATAATACTTTTTGACAATTACTTACCTTTCAAGAAGTTATACTAACAGTAATGCTTGCAATATTCAACTTTGTAAGTACAAGAGATCACACACTCTTGGAATGCCAAGACAAATCAGCAACGATAGAGGCTCTAAGAAATGAATACGCAAAGACCTACAAAAAACCAATATGTGAGCATCACTGAAAGAGATCGTACGGTGTGCCAAGCACATCACTGAGAGAATCGATTGAAAATATGCAAGATAATTACAAAATACCAGAACACAACCAATTCAAGAAAAAACAGTAGAGAGCAGTTGTTCAGAAAAACATTCTCCACCCAACAGCAGTGGCAGAGTCTATCGATATTTCCCATCATGCACCTAGTAAGGAAAAGATGGAAAAAATACTACATACAGTGTAAAAAATCACAAGCAACGTCATCATGCCTACAGATATCCACACAAAAATGATTTTATTATTGAATTATATTTGAATTGAGCTAGGTATGTTATGAGATTTGTGATGTTTCTGCTTTTAAGGTTGGTTGCAGTACTAGAAGCATCTACTGCATTAATATCGCTAAACTGAAGCTTCTATGCATATCATACACAAACTTCTTTCTGAAATCACAACAACACTTAAAAGTGAAAACGTACTTAGCGAGGCTCAATAGTTCAATGCTTCTGTAGTACTGCGGACATAAATTTACATACTCTAGCTCACCCGTAGCAAGAAATCCTGCTTTTTTTATGCACAAGTTATTTGCCAGAAGCCTTCATAAATGCTTTGGTGCATATTAAAAATTAACAAAAGAGACGACTTGCAGCTGTACAATCAACAGCCCCATTTTTGCTTCGGAAAGGATATGTTTTCCTTGCACCACTTGCAGCACTATTGACAGAACACTGCTACTTCGTACAAAATAAATACAATATTCAATAATGCCCTACTGAGGAGGTGACCTTATAAACAGATGCTACTTTTAGTTTTAAGTTAACTGCTCTTTTTGTACCATAAAAACCCGAGATGGTTCCACCCCCCCCCCCCCTTTTTTTTTTCCCGAGGGAAAGAGTTGATAAAAAGGGTCAGTAAACAACCCCCGAGGTCCAAAAGTTGTAATGAATACAAAATGTGCATTTACGCTATGTGAACATGCTGCTGAAAGAATTTTGCGAATACGTGCTACAACAAGGAAGTTACAGGGGCTAGAGCATCTGTTTCGGCTGGTTTCAAATTTTTGCGCAGTATCACCACCCTGCTTCACTGCAGGGAAGTGGAAGACTTAATCGACCATCGCGACTCCACCCACTTCAAAAAAGTGACACGACGTGAGCGCTACCTCATTGGCGTACAGTGAACAATGAAGCAGAACATCTTCCACTTGAGCACGTGACATAGCAATGCGGGGCGGAGGCTCGATGCGAGGAGAATTCGTCCTCTAGTCAAAGTAGTAAGACACCTCTCTATCTCGGAGGATTTCGTTCTGGGAATACCGCTTCTCCCAGTAGTGTCAGGATCTATAGAATAGCAGAGGGCAGCACAGGAGAATGAAAACGCAAAATACTCGTGTCAAAACTGCATCTACCCAGGACCAAGGCGCCACTTTGTAGAGCAAAGAACCAATCGATGAGCTCAGTGGTGTGTAGGGTTGCCCATGAGAGAATTCACACCACTGCGCATACAAGGGGTTAGGTCAGATGAAAAGAGGCACACAGGAATTCTTTTTTGAAATGTAGGGTCTCCGCAGTCCATAATATCCTGTAATATTAAAAACATTTATCACAGTGGTCTGCTCTATGGATTAGTGAGCTTGTTTGGGAGGTCCAAAAATAAGTTGGAGCCCATCTACTGGCCCTTTAATGCATCATTGCATATATGCAAGATAATTAAAACACAAAGCGATGCATGAGAAGTAACATCACATCTTCAACAAAGGGTGGATGGCAGGAATTCAGAATATAACTGCATCGAACAGTCACTTCAGAGTCCGATATTTGCGAGATGGACCTAAGAAACGAAAAAGAGGAAAAAAAATATGGTAGTATTACTAGCAGTGAACAGTATTACCTACTAACATCACAAGGCCTAGAAATACTGGTGTTATCCAAATAATAATTATCATCATTGATTGATTGATATGTGGGGTTTAACGTCTCAAAACCACCATATGATTATGAGAGACGCCGTAGTGACGGGCTTCGGAAATTTCGACCACCCGGGGTTCTTTAACATGCACCCAAATCTGAGCACACAAGCCTACATTGTTTCTGCCTCCATCGGAAATGCAGCCGCCGCAGCCGGAAGTCTATCCCGCGACTTGCAGGTCATAATTATTATCGCCTACAGCCTGACTACGCCCACTGCAGGGCAAAGGCCATAGTCTGCCAATCTGTCCAATCTTGTGATTTCTGCTGCCACGTTATACCTGCGAACTTTTTAATCTCATCGGCTACTTAATTTTCTGTCTCCCCATTGTGCGTTTGCCTTCTTTAGGAATCCATTCAGTTCCCCTAATGACCAGCAGTTATCCTGCCTACTGTTGCGAAGCGCGCCTCCGACGAGGTTACGAAGGGCGCCACGAATCTCATCGCTGCAACCTCTGTTTACGAAAGACGGCGACGCCAACACGGTCCCGAAGGCGCCACTGCTTTGAATTCCGCCGGGAAGGTCACCAGCCGTTTGGTAGCGTAGCTTTCTCAGCTCGCGACTGCTTCTGCGCAGAGCTGATAGACGAGCAGACGACGGTGAGTTAAACAAGGTTTATGTACAGCATATATACAGAGGCGTTACAAATTCGACACTGGGGCCGACAGCTTAGAGACCCGAAGAGCCGAGCTCTCCTCTCTAACACATAGGCCTGCTCTGACACACATGTCTACTGCTCGCGACGCGCCGCAGGGCTTCTTTTATATGCACCGGGTGGATTCTTTGAGTAACCAAATGTCCAACCAGAAGCGCCGCTTGTCGTGAGGTCAGACTCCTCAATGGGGTCGCCGCTGGGCCGCGTCTTCTCATCGAATCTGGAGCCGCTGCGCTGCACGTGGATGCACCCAAGGACGAGTGACGTCGCCATGCATTGCGTCAGACTCGCCAGACAGGAAGGCGCCGGCTCGCTGCCTGACGTGACTCACTGCACGTGCGCGGCAGAAAGCCACCACCGCGTGATGACGCCGTTGAGTTGTTCGCGTCAGGCGGGCTCGCGTGCTGGCCTTGACACAGATTGACTTTTTTTCAGAGGCATGGACGTTTGCTGTGGACTCGCAGGCATAACACTACGTGCCTGGCCCATGTCTATATCTTCTCCTGGATTACAACTACGATATCCTTAACCCCAGTTTGTTCCCTGATTCAATACGCTCTCTTCTCGTAAGGTTACACCTATCAGTTTCCTTCTCATCGCTGACTGCGTCGTTTTCAATTTCAATTTAAGCTGAACCCTCTTTATAAGCCCTCCGGGTTTCTGCTTCGTAGGTAGGTACCCGCAAGATATAGCTGTTATATACCTTCCTCTTGCGGGTTAGTGGCAGATTACCATTCATGATTTGAGAATGCTTGCCGAATGTGGTCCACCCCATCTTTATTCTTCTAGTTATTTCACTCTCATGGTTCGGCTCCGCAGTTAATACATGGCCTACCTAAACATATTCCTTTACAATTTTCATGCTACTTTTGGTTCCCTTTAATGGGAGATGTATTTTTTTTTCAATTTGCGCAACAGCATTTACGGACACCGGCGGCGGCAGCAGTAGGTAGCGGCGGAGCGGACAACTACGGTACAGCTTTCGCTGCGAAAAATCTTGCACCCATGTTGTGTTGCGCTATCCAGATAACGCGCCGCTCCTACACTTCAACGAAAAATGACGGCACACCCATAAACACGTCTAGCTAGCTCACTGTTGTGTCCAAAGAGATAGCTGCAACGCAGACAAGATTGCCAGCTGATGCATCAGCGCGCGAAACAAATTACTTCGATGATAAACTTAACGACGAAAAGCAGCGGTGTCACCCTACAGCTTCGCTCTGCGTGGTAAATGTGCAGTAAAACTTTTGATAAACCTCAGAAGTTTGCAGCCGCGAAACAATAAAAACAATCACTTACGAAAGGCAGAGTAGGGGTACTACACTTCGCGTTGCACCAATGCTTCCAGAACGCGCAGCAAATCTTGGTCCACAGTACAAACCAGCAGGTAAGAATGTGCGTTGAAACTTGCCGAAGCGGACCGCCGCTAAAATATGATACAGAACACGTGAGTAAACATCACGTTGTCAACCTGACACCTCGAGACCTTGAAGAGCGCGCTACAGCCACGGCCGCCAACTACAGCCCACAGTGAAACCATGGATGGATGGATGGATTGGTATGGCCCGTGGGTGTGGCTGTACCCTTTAGATCGGGTAAGGTCCCTAGATGAAACCAAAGGTAGCCTCACTCATTGATCTCGAGCCGTCCTCCTCACTCTCTCAATTACTCCTCTTTTTCTCTGCCATCCGGGTATGCAATTGGTGCATTCCTCGCAAGTGATCTTGCAAATGGCTGGTGGTGTTATTTATCGTTATGCAAAAGGTTCGAAACGAGTACGCATGTGCATACAACTCCAGCTGGATTCTTGCCGTGACCAAAGACGAAATCGTAGCCAGGACATAAACAGAACAGGAGGAGCGTTTCATACCCTGTCACACGGCCACCACCAAACTCCGTTGAACACCGTCAACGTAAATCTCCCCTAGGGGGTCCGACGGAGGAGGAGTTGTGGCAGTGTCACACGGCAATGACAAGGTTGTAACAGTTGCCGCGAGGGGGCTCAGCTGGGGCTGTACGATTTTCGGAAAAGTATTCTAATTTGATCCCTATTGATTTTTTTGAGAATCCTCGTTATGCTGGTTTTTACAAAAAAGCACTATAAAGAAGGTATGCGACTAACGAACCATTAAAAATAATATAAATAAAAACACATTTGCTAATTATAGCAATGCTGCTAGTGACGCTGGCCACATTGTGCTTTCAGTTGTTTGTTGCACGGAGGAAGGAAAAAGGTAAGGAGAGGGCATGCCCAGCTGGCGCAGGACGTAAAAAGTGTGGCGGAAATGACATCATGGCAGCCATATTCAGTAGGCACAATGGCGGCGTTGTTATGGTTACGTGTTGCGCAGTGAAGCTGGTCTAGCAGTGAGCGGCTGCGGCTGGCGGCGGAATGTGTGCCTCCCCAGGTCTCGTGCTGAGCCATGGCGGACAATATCTGTGCTCTGCGCCACGTTATTTGTTACGCAGTGTTCTCCTGGCTGTTACATTACTCTTAGCAACGTTTACAAATCTCTTTGTCCATCACGGGGTTTTAACAGTGCGTAGAACAAGTGCATATCCATGTGTCGTGCGGCGGATGACGCGGATGAAGCAGTCAGTGTTCAGCGAAATGGCGTTGGGCACCATGACGAAGCTGAATGACGAGGAACGCCTTGCAGGTCAGTGACGGTTGAGCAGTGCTCCTGCTTGTGACAACGGACGACGCTGTTGAGCCCAGCAAGACGCCGTGAGGACCATGTGCACATACGTAGTTTCGTGTTGTGTGTGTACAGTAACAGCTTGCATGTGCGTATTAAAACACCTTTTCTGTTCCGCTTGGTACACTCTCCACCAGCATTGCATGTAATCTCAACGTAACAGCAACCACGTTCAACTGTCACTAGCACCGTGCTCAAAGTCACCACGGTCGCAGAATGCTGACGCAGGTGAGTTTCACGTGGAACACGGACACAGTGGCAGGACGCTGCGTCAGTCGCGTGGCGGAATTCAACCGTAGAAGGCGCACGACCGATCGTGTTGTCTGTACAGTTGCTGAATTAATGACGTGAAAGCACTCGCCGTTGTCAGTGCATCTAGCGCGCATTCTCTCGTAGTTGCTTCCTTGTCAGCGAGCTGTTACTCTTTGTTATTACTCGGACGAAGCGATTTCGCTGAAGGTGTCCCGCTGGCTCTGAGTGATGAGCCCAGTTCCATTAGTTTCGGATCGTCACGACACACGCGCTGCGCAGCCCACGTGCTTTCCGAGCCGGAGAGGGAGTCACGCCTTCTGCTTCGCATTCATATGTAAACAAGAGAGGAGAATTTGCCTACTCAATATGGCCGACTTCCGGCTTCATCGCGGCTTCACAACGAGTGACGTCAGGGCCTCTCCTTACCTTTTCCTTCCTCCGTCTTTTGTTGCTTCCTCCGTGTTTTGTTGCCTGTGCCCGGTACGAAAGTTCTTATGCTTCCTTGCCTCGTGAGCGCACATTTTGTGTTCTTCAGCCGTGAGTGACACAGCGGACGACGTGAGGAAGTGGTGCGATATTGCGCTGGTAATGGCGTTGATCGGCTGGCGCCGGCCGGCCCGACTCGCGAGGCACGGTGTGTAGCAACGTTTCTAGAACTAGGTCTAGAAACGGTGTGTAAGGGCATCGGTGTTGAGAGTAAGTGAACTCTGGCGGGCGTAAATATTGTAAACAAACACGCGTTGTGAATGAGTACTACAACGAAAGAACGTTTAATATTGCTAAAATGTATTATTCTCTCACTGTGGCCACTTAGTGCTCGAAATTTTTCTCTGAACTCTAAACTGCTGAGGACGAGAGTACCTCGTTCCGCTGCGAAGGGAGATTGTTGAACGTCCTTTGCGAAATGCTCCGTTCACCTTCGTTTGCGTAAGGGTGGCCGTGTGACACCAACCGCATCTTCGTTGTCGTAAAGACGAGGGAGTTAAACGGTCTTCACGGGTGCCCGTGTGACAGGGGTATTAGTGTGCTCCAAGTCGACCGAGATTGTTTCGTAGTGCTCGTTATATGCAATATCCGCGTTTTTCAACAATGCTGCGTTGCCGTAAAACAACGGAAAACGCTTTCGCTCTCTTCAGCTTACATTGTGCTATCCGTAATGGAGCATGCCGTGAAGTATAGCTATGAAACATTTCACGCGAACGCTTTCGTGCAACTCCGTCAACGTACGTCGACGCGGATCTGCGAAATGAGTTTATTAGTCGGTTTTTATTGAAACGCAAGGCGCGCGTCTAATACGCGTCTAGTGCACGCGAGTTTGTACAAATACTTGTGTGTATGCTCGTATACAGAGCAGCTGGAGGGTGTAATCAACGCACCTTCAGAAACATTTCACGCTTGACCAGTGCACGAATGAGCCGAAACGCGCTGCTTCGAGACACCTCACCAGTAGAAGTCTCACTTTTCAGAAAGTTCCGAGCACCGCATCAGAATCACCTGGCATCATGATTGTCCATGGGCACATTAAAGAAAAACCTTCATCGCAGGGCTCCTAGTCAAGTGTTCGTACCAGTCTGGCCGTAGTTTTTTCTTGCGTGTGCACAAGCCGGCTGTAATCGCTCGTCGCAGCGTCACTGACAGGATCGAGCAAGAAGCGCGTTCACTGTGTCACAGCACGAACAAAACACATTCGGAGAACTGGACGAACTACGATGAACGATGCGAGACGCCATGGCTAGGGGTGTGAAATATAGAACTGCACAACGTTGCAGTTCTATATTTCACACCTTAAGGTCTAGAGGTCTAGACCTTAAGGTGTGAAATCTTAAGGTCTAGAGACCTTAAGATCTTAAGGTCTCTAGAAGGTCTCTAGATGAAACAAGTTTCCAAGGTAGCGACACCTTTCCCTTTGCTCCTCACCAATGTTCTTGTAGCGCCTCCTAGAAGGTTCAAATGTTTCATAAAAAAACGAAAGTTTGACTTCAGCTGCTACGATGAATAGGTGTAAATGAAACAATTTGGAACGAAATGAGTCGTACAATAAAGGGGTAACTTTATGAACATAAATGGTACAACACAAAGAGAAGCGGGATGTGCGTTACTCACCTGGCAACGTTGTGCAGTTATATATTTCACACCCCTAGCCATGGCGTCTCGCATCGTTCATCGTAGTTCGTCCACTTCTACGAATGCGTTTTGTTCGTGCTGTGACACAGTGAACGCGCTTCTTGCTCGATCCTGTCAGTGACGCTGCGACGAGCGATTACAGCCGGCTTGTGCACACGCAAGAAAAAACTACGGCCAGACTGGTACGAACACTTGACTAGGAGCCCTGCGATGAAGGTTTTTCTTTAATGTGCCCATGGACAATCATGATGCCAGGTGATTCTGATGCGGTGCTCGGAACTTTCTGAAAAGTGAGACTTCTACTGGTGAGGTGTCTCGAAGCAGCGCGTTTCGGCTCATTCGTGCACTGGTCAAGCGTGAAATGTTTCTGAAGGTGCGTTGATTACACCCTCCAGCTGCTCTGTATACGAGCATACACACAAGTATTTGTACAAACTCGCGTGCACTAGACGCGTATTAGACGCGCGCCTTGCGTTTCAATAAAAACCGACAAATAAACTCATTTCGCAGATCCGCGTCGACGTACATTGACGGAGTTGCACGAAAGCGTTCGCGTGAAATGTTTCATAGCTATACTTCACGGCATGCTTCATTTCGGATAGCACAATGTAAGTTGAAGAGAGCGAAAGCGTTTTCCGTTGTTTTACGGCAACGCAGCATTGTTGAAAAACGCGGATATTGCATATAACGAGCACTACGAAACAATCTCGGTCGACTTGGAGCACACATACCCCTGTCACACGGCCTCCTCCTGTTCTGTTCATGTCCTGGCTACGATTTCGTCTTTGGTCACGGCAAGAATCCAGCTGGAGTTGTATGCGCATGCGTACTCGTTTCGAACCTTTTGCATAACGATAAATAACACCACCAGCCATTTGCAAGATCACTTGCGAGGAATGCACCAATTGCATACCCGGATGGCAGAGAAAAAGAGGAGTAATTGAGAGAGTGAGGAGGACGGCTCGAGATCAATGAGTGAGGCTACCTTTGGTTTCATCTAGGGACCTTACCCGATCTAAAGGGTACAGCCACACCCACGGGCCACACCAATCCATCCATCCATCCATGGTTTCACTGTGGGCTGTAGTTGGCGGCCTTGGCTGTAGCGCGCTCTTCAAGGTCTCGAGGTGTCAGGTTGACAACGAGATGTTTACTCACGTGTTCTGTATCATATTTCAGCGGCGGTCCGCTTCAGCAGGTTTCAACGCACATCCTTACCTGCTGGTTTGTACTGTGGACGAAGATTTGCTGCGCGTTCTGGAAGCATTGGTGCAACGCGAAGTGTAGTACCCGTACTCTGCCTTTCGTAAGTGATTGTTTTTATTGTTTCGCGGCTGCAAACTTCTCAGGTTTATCGAAAGCTTTACTGCACATTTACCACGCACAGTAAAGCTGTAGGGTGACACCGCTGCGTTTCGTCGTTAAGTTTATCATCGAAGTAATTTGTTTCGCGCGCTGATGCATCAGCTGGCAATCTTGTCTGCGTTGCAGCTATCTGTTTGGACACGACAGTGAGCTAGCTAGACGTGTTTATGGGTGCGCCGTCATTTTTCGTTGAAGTGTAGGAGCGGCACGTTATCTGGATAGTGCAACACAACATGGGTGCAAGATTTTTCGCAGCGTCCGCTCCGCCGCTACCACTGCTGCTGCCGCCGGTGTCCGTAAATGCTGTTGCGCAAATTGAAGAAAAAAAATACATCTCCTATTAAAGGGAACCAAAAGTAGCATGAAAATTGTAAAGGAATATGTCTAGGTAGGACATGTATTAACTGCGGAGCCGAACCATGAGAGTGAAATAACTAGAAGAATAAAGATGGGGTGGACCACATTCGGCAAGCATTCTCAAATCATGAATGGTAATCTGCCACTAACCCACAAGAGGAAGGTATATAACAGCTATATCTTGCCGGTACCTACCTACGAAGCAGAAACCCGGAGGGCTTATAACGAGGGTTCAGCTTAAATTGAAATTGAAAACGACGCAGTGAGCGATGAGAAGGAAACTGATAGGTGTAACCTTACGAGAAGAGAGCGTATTAAGTCAGGGAACAAACTGGGGTTAAGGATATCGTAGTTGTAATCCAGGAGAAGATATAGACATGGGCCAGGCACGTAGTGTTATGCCTGCGAGTCCACAGCAAACGTCCATGCCTCTGAAAAAAAGTCAATCTGTGTCAAGGCCAGCACGCGAGCCCGCCTGACGCGAACAACTCAACGGCGTCATCACGCGGTGGTGGCTTTCTGCCGCGCACTTGCAGTGAGTCACGTCAGGCAGCGAGCCGGCGCCTTCCTGTTTGGCGAGTCTGACGCAATGCGTGGCGACGTCACTCATCCTAGGGTGCATCCACGTGCAGCGCAGCGGCTCCAGATTCGATGAGAAGACGCGGCCCAGCGGCGACCCCATTGGAGGAGTCTGACCTCACGACAAGCGGCGCTTCTGGTTGGACATTTGGTTACTCAAAGAATCCACCCGGTGCATATAAAAGAAGCCCTGCGGCGCGTCGCGAGCAGTAGACGTGTGTCAGAGCAGGCCTATGTGTTAGAGAGGAGAGCTCGGCTCTTCGGGTCTCTAAGCTGTCGGCCCCAGTGTCGAATTTGTAACGCCTCTGTATATATGCTGTACATAAACCTTGTTTAACTCACCGTCGTCTGCTCGTCTATCAGCTCTGCGCAGAAGCAGTCGTGAGCTAAGAAAGCTACGCTACCAAACGGCTGGTGACCTGCGCAGAAGCAGTCGCGAGCTAAGAAAGCTACGCTACCAAACGGCTGGTGACCTTCCCGGCGGAATTCAAAACAGTGGCGCCTTCGGGACCGTGTTGGCGTCGCCGTCTTTCGTAAACAGAGGTTGCAGCGATGAGATTTGTGGCGCCCTTCGTAACGTCGTCGGAGGCGCGCTTCGCAACAGTAGGCAGGATAACTGCTGGTCTTTAGGGGAACTGAATGGATTCCTAAAGAAGGCAAACGCACAATGGGGAGACAGAAAATTAAGTAGCCGATGAGATTAAAAAGTTCGCAGGTATAACGTGGCAGCAGAAATCACAAGATTGGACAGATTGGCAGACTATGGCCTTTGCCCTGCAGTGGGCGTAGTCAGGCTGTAGGCGATAATAATTATGACCTGCTAGTCGCGGGATAGACTTCCGGCTGCGGCGGCTGCATTTCCGATGGAGGCGGAAACAATGTAGGCTTGTGTGCTCAGATTTGGGTGCATGTTAAAGAACCCCGGGTGGTCGAAATTTCCTAAGCCCTTCACTACGGCGTCTCTCATAATCATATGGTGGTTTTGAGACGTTAAACCCCACATATCAATCAATCAATGATGATAATTATTATTTGGATAACACCAGTATTTCTAGGCCTTGTGATGTTAGTGGTAATACTGTTCACTGCTAGTAATACTACCATATTTTTTCCCCTCTTTTTAATTTCTTAGGTCCATCTCGCAAATATCGGACTGTGAAGTGACTGTTCGATGCAGTTATATTCTGAATTCCTGCCATCCACCCTTTGTTGAAGATGTGATGTTACTTCTCATGCATGGCTTTGTGTTTTAATTATCTTGCATATATGCAATGATGCATTAAAGGGCCAGTAGATGGGCTCCGGTTTATTTTTGGACCTCCCAAACAAGCTCACTAATTCATACAGCAGACCACTGTGATAAAATTTTTTTAATATTACAGGATATTACAGACTGCGGAGACCCTACATTTCAAAAAAGAATTCCTGTGCCCCTTTTCATCTGACCTATCCCCCTTGTATGAGCAGTGGTGTGAATTCTCTCATGGGCAACCCTACACACCACTGAGCTCATCGATTGGTTCTTTGCTCTACAAAGTGGCGCCTTGGTCCTGGGTAGATGCAGTTTTGACACGAGTATTTTGCGTTTTCATTCTCCTGTGCTGCCCTCTGCTATTCTATAGATCCTGACACTACTGGGAGAAGCGGTATTCCCAGAACGAAATCCTCCGAGATAGAGAGGTGTCTTACTACTTTGACTAGAGGACGAATTCTCCTCGCATCGAGCCTCCGCCCCGCATTGCTATGTCACGTGCTCAAGTGGAAGATGTTCTGCTTCATTGTTCGCTGTACGCCAATGAGGTAGCGCTCACGTCGTGTCACTTTTTTGAAGTGGGTGGAGTCGCGATGGTCGATTAAGTCTTCCACTTCCCTGCAGTGAAGAAGGGTGGTGATACTGCGCAAAAATTTGAAACCAGCCGAAACAGATGCTCTAGCCCCTGTAACTTCCTTGTTGTAGCACGTATTCGAAAAATTCTTTCAGCAGCATGTTCACATAGCGTAAATGCACATTTTGTATTCATTACAACTTTTGGACCTCGGGGGTTGTTTACTGACCCTTTTTATCAACTCTTTCCCTCGGGGAAAAAAAAAGGGGGGGGGGGGTGGAACCATCTCGGGTTTTTATGGTACAAAAAGAGCAGTGAACTTAAAACTAAAAGTAGCATCTGTTTATAAGGTCACCTCCTCAGTAGGGCATTATTGAATATTGTATTTATTTTGTACGAAGTAGCAGTGTTCTGTCAATAGTGCTGCAAGTGGTGCAAGGAAAACGTATCCTTTCCGAAGCAAAAATGGGGCTGTTGATTGTACAGCTGCAAGTCGTCTCTTTTGTTAATTTTTAATATGCACCAAAGCATTTATGAAGGCTTCTGGCAAATAACTTGTGCATAAAAAAAGCAGGATTTGTTGCTACGAGGTGAGCTAGAGTATGTAAGTTTATGTCAGCAGTACTACAGAAGCATTGAACTATTGAGCCTCGCTAAGTATGTTTTCACTTCTAAGTGTTATTGTGATTTCAGAAAGAAGTTTGTGTATGATATGCATAGAAGCTTCAGTTCAGCAATATTAATGCAGTAGATGCTTCTAGTACTGTAACCAACCTTAAAAGCAGAAACATCACAAATCTCATAACATACCTAGCTCAATTCAAATTTAATTCAATAATAAAATCATTTTTGTGTCGATATCTGCAGGCATGATGACGTTGCTTGTGATTTTTTACACTGTATGTAGTATTTTTTCCATCTTTTCCTTACTAGGTGCATGATGGGAAATATCGATAGACTCTGCCACTGCTGTTGGGTGGAGAATGTTTTTCTGAACACCTGCTCTCTACTGTTTTTTCTTGAATTGGTTGTGTTCTGGTATTTTGTAATTATCTTGCATATTTTCAATCGATTCTCTCAGTGATGTGCTTGGCGCACCGTACGATCTCTTTCAGTGATGCTCACATATTGGTTTTTTGTAGGTCTTTGCGTATTCATTTCTTAGAGCCTCTATCGTTGCTGATTTGTCTTGGCATTCCAAGAGTGTGTGATCTCTTGTACTTACAAAGTTGAATATTGCAAGCATTACTGTTAGTATAACTTCTTGAAAGGTAAGTAATTGTCAAAAAGTATTATTTGATTCTGCTTAGCATGTCTTCAATTGTCTTCTTATTCTGTTTTTCACTTTGTCATACATGGTGTTACTTAATTTATGCATCCTCTTAACCTGTTAATGTCAGTGCTGAACTAATAACTGGCTTTCTTTATTCCTAATGGTGAGAGCATATCAAGCACATGTCTCTATATGTCTCTATAGAGCTAATATAGAAGGCTGACCAGATGTACTTCGTTGCTGGTTGCCATCAAGTCTTCTTGATTGAAGTAGTGTGCATCAACATTAGTCTAATTTGTTCTACGTTTCATAGTTACAGTTACAGTGGCTCCACTGTCATACGTGTGAGTCGCAAAAACACTTGTGTGCTCAACATTGCTAAGATATTTCAGGCTCTTGGAAATTAACCTAGATTTTCTTGATACGGAATCACTCATTATAGTTAAATGCTTTGCCCTTTTAAACTCCCACGCTTGTGTTCGTTTTTTGAGTAACCCTTCCCATCTTTCTCTTTACGCAGCTATGGGAGCGTGCTTCATCCATCCAGCAACTACAGATTCTGAGAAGTCTCATAGGGGACTCGTCCACCAGTGTAACTTCAGTGACAATGAGACTGATTAGTCATGGCACCTCTCATCAGGGTTCACATAGTGAGCAGCATGCGCATTGCGCTGTTGTCTGCCAGCTGCCCGGAAAAAATTGTTTTTTATGCTACCGGTTTTCAACTAGGTTTTTTTTATGCTACCGATTGTTGGAGTTTGTTAGACCCATCAACACAATTGATAAATCCAATAGAAACTCAAATATTGTTTCCATTGGTTGAACCGGGTTCACCTGCTAGTCTAATTGATCAATGCATTTTGATATTGATTGTGTTACCAATTGGTTATGTTGGTCAGATCCATTCAAACCTAACAGATGACCCAGCAGCTACAGATTCTGAGAAGTCTCATAGGGGACCCGTCCACCAGTGTAACTTCAGTGACAATGAGACTGATTAGTCATGGCACCTCTCATTAGGGTTCACATAGCGAGCAGCCATTTGTGCCCACAGAGCTTCAATGATGCGCATTGAATGATCACATTAGCACCCATATGGGTGAGCGGCTGTGTAAATACCACTTGTGACCCTGAAGCTTCTTGGTAAAATCCGCGTTGGCTGTGTGCCTGCTAATTCACACGTCTGAGCATCGGTATGAAGGTTCTTGACTCCTCCAAGCTTTCTGGCAAATGTTCAAACTGAAAATGCATGTGCATCCAAAAGAGCCAGCACCTGTGTCAATGCCCTTCTTGCCCCCAGACAGTTAACAAGAATGGCCATCTCAAAAGACGCAAGCATCACCTTGAACACTAGCAACCCCTTCATTAAAGGCTCTGCTGTCGTTGTTTTTTGAGTTTGTTTATTTACTTTTGTAAAGGCACCTTTAAAGAGTTGTTCCAGAATACCGTGAAAAGTGCTGAGATACATGGCATAACATTAAGGTTGTGGTCCTAGCAGTGATGGCCTGGCCTCATTCATTTTTTTTTACCATCTTTGTGCATGGAGCAATGTGTAATTGAAACATTTCATATCATTTTTCTCTTTGCACTGCTGTTGGTAACGGTGTATATTATCATTATAAGTTGTATTGTGTATTTCTACTGTTCAATGACCACATTTTTCTTCAGTGTGAACTCTATGTCCTTTCCGAGCCACGCATTTGAATACTGTAAACGTAAAACCATATCTCCATTACACTATGGCCTAGCGGAGGTCACCAGTCAGATGTGTAGGTATATAATAATCGGTCGGAATTGCAAGATTTCATGTGTTTCTTTCATGTTATGTGATGTGTAAAGGAAATTAAAGGGCTCATTTTCTTTGTTAGACACCATTTAGTGAGAACTAACAGACAATAATGCGAAGGGAAGTATAGGGCCTGTTAGTGGTAATTTTAATGTAAATGTGAAGAAAGAAAGGGGACAAAAAGATGATTTGTCGCTGACAGGGACCGAACCTGTCACCTTCAAATGACACGGCCAACACTCTACCTCCCTGCACGTGTGAATGGGCAAAAAAAAAAAGAATGGAGTGCTCCACACTCGTCCTAATGGCTACTGCCGGCACTGAATGACACTCCCATCTTTCAAATGCACATATATATTATATAAAGTAGACACAGGAATGACCACTGCTATAGTACAGTTGGTGGAGCATTGGGCGCATCATTAAAAGCTTGCAGGTTAAATCCCTGCCATCTGCAAATTATCTTTTCGTCCACTTTTATTCTGTACATTTACATCACAATTACTGTTAATAACATCCGGTATACTTTCCTTCACCTCATCTTATTAAAGGGGTACTGACACAAAATTTTGCTGCCGAGATAGCCTGCAGTATCGATTCCCGTGAACATGCGTATATCATCGACAAAATATCAATAGCAAATATAGCTTGAAAGGTATTTTACAGCAATTTTGAAATTTGAATTTTGAAGGTATTGACATTGTCTAAAGGACCCTTTGCGGACCGCCTTACTTCCCTCACGTCATCATGCTGCAGTCAATAAATGGGTTATGATAATGTCATAGCTGCCATTTTTCTTTTGCCACGCTTGTTTCCGCTGTCAATACACATGTGGTTGCTATTATGAATTTTCTTTGGTAATAAAATGCAGATGCAGAAGTTATGTGGACCAGCTAGCTTTTTCATACACATGTTAACTGCAGTTTAGTCACTGTCCTTGTAACAAGGTGCCAGGCAGTGTCTTAATGTAATTGGGTATGTCATTAATTCAGCAAGATAAGCCCAGAGACACAAACAGGTAGCATTTGAGTCTGCAGTGTTCACCATTTTTCCTACAGTGGGTTGTTTTGGGATAAAACTACTTTTTGTTTCAAGCTAACCTCTTGTAAATACAGCATCCTTCAAATGTTGTTTTTTTTTTTCCATATTGGGCCATCTATATCAAAGCATAATGGCTGGTTGTTCTTCATGCGTTTCGACAGTGGCATATCAACTCCGCGTCTAGGGGGCAAGTCTCTCTAACTCCGTCAGTCGTGTACGCGGGCATGCACGCACACAAACACACACTACATATATTTTCCTGAAGGGGAGAGAGTTTTTAGCATTACTAAGGAGCAGGCAAAGGTCATCTCTGGCGTACAAAGCTGTGGGCTTTTGCCCCGTTCTAGTCAATCAAGTTGCAGAGCAAGCTTCAAAGCTGGGCTTGCCAACTCTCAAACCAACCGCCCTTTTTGTCGCCTTGTTGCTAGTTGCAACAACAGTTATAACAGCTTTCGCTGTAAAACATAGACAAGCAAATATGGCTACACGGGGAGCGACGGCATGAGCATGTCGTAAGTTTATAGACGAGGTGATGCACCAAACTATGGTACCTAGTGTGTTTGTGGGAGCTGCAATGGGAATGGGAATGCAATGGGACTGACGCTTCAGCAAGCATGGGAATAATGGGTAGTGTACACAAATTTTGTAATCTTAATACTTTTGGTTCTGTTTGGCTTAGTTTGACTTAGTGTTTGTAAATGAAAATCAGGAAATGTCGAGCAGTTGCACTTCCAATAACCTTTTAGGCTCACTAATTCAAATTGGGCCGCAAAGTTCATGACGATTTGTTCTTTGATTTGAAACAAAACTAAAACACAGCAGTTAATAAATCACAAGTAGTTCAAAGCCCACAAGCGCGAAGACTACGCAAGTCTGTGTGCTACCCATCATTACCATAGTGGCTGAATGATTGCAGCTCCCAGAGTTTGCTCTAGTTAATTTTAGGAAACTCTATGACCAGTGCAAGCAGTTTTTTGGCTAATAAAATGCATTGACGGTAGCCTACTCGTAATTTATGTATGTTGTCCATTGCTGAATGGATGCACGGAGCTGGCTCAACATTGCTTGTGTAACACAATCTGCCAATGAAATAGACATTTGTGCTTGGCGACTGTCCGTGCTTTTGCACTATGTCAGGTTTCTCGTATTTTTTTTAATTTGTGGACATTGACGTTGTGTGCTGCCTATTACGCACTGCTATAATGTGGCTTAATTCATTATTTGCATCATATATACCGGTCTTCGATACTGAATAAGAAATAAATATCATATTCTTCGGCAATGAGCTAAAATAATTGCGAACACACATTGACATTTTTTTCTTATTCAGTTCTTCAAGAAATGAACATGGAGGACAGTTGATGAGCTTATTCAGGAAAGCTGTGTGGTCATGAGCACTTTAGTGTGCCTGTTTTTACTCCAATAGCGGTACAAAAAGGTAACAGTTCAGCGCACAGCTTTCTTTGATTGATTATCTGCATGACAGTGCTGCAACAAAGGTTCAATTATTTGATGGGACAGAAGTGTTTTTTTTTTTTTTTCAGGGCAAATAATGTCCACTTCTTCGATCAGTCTATAGCAATGCCACAAAAGCACACAAGATATTATGAAAAAAAAAAAGCATGCACGTCACACTCTTTTTTTCACTTAATTTTTCCTCTCTCTTCCCCTGATGGCTCTCCATGGTTTCGCATTCGCCAAATGCACTTGTCATGTAATCGTGGTGGTGTGTGATGGCTGGCCTAGTTGATTTCAGTGCTACCAATGGTTGCTTTCCCAGAGAGTGGTTGAGCTAGAGAACTAGGTTAAATCTCATAAAGTTTCGAATAGTCAGTGGTGCCAGGTAACGTGGATAGACTCGAAAATGAGCTTTAAATGTGTTCAGAACAGTGCCAATTTTGGAACCAGGCATTTATAAGTGCTTATCAGTATTTGGGCACAAGTGCTAGGAGTGGTAAGGAAACTCTATGAAAGCACTCTTTAACCTTTAATTCAGGCTCAAAGAAGGGTGATAAGAATGCAAAGAACAATATAGGATTTTTCCCAAAATCTGCTCTTTAATCATCACTGATCACGATGTCAGCACTGCCATCATGTAAAAAGTAAGTTGATCTCTCACGCTGAGACATCAATTAACTAATTTATGCCACGGTATTAAAATAATTGCTGTTTTTACTTACACATTTATTTATCTATGGTCGCAGTATGCTCCTCCTAGAAGTACATGTGCGACATTCATTCCACACATTTTATGTTACTGTCATAATTTTAATATTTATAACTATTTCACGCACATTTAGCGTGCGGGAGTTTAGGCCTTCTTACAACCACTCTTTGCTTAACAATGGTCACTTATTGATCACATCAATGCATATTTGTGTCACTTTGCCTTGACGCTGTGTAATTAGCCTTTGCACCACAAACTTTATTATTAATTCCGTTTGTCGATTTCCTGTTTTCATTTTTAATTTTGTTTAAATCTATTTATGCCTCACCTTATTTAATGCCTTCATGCCCTAATAAGGTGTAATAAATGCAATTAAATTGAACCTGTTCTCTTTGTGCAGCTTCGGAGTATGTCATCAATCCAGGAACTGTGGATGCTGAAAAGTCGCATCGGCAACACCGTCATCGCTGCAACATTTGTGGCTACACGACCGATAAATCGTCTTGCATTAAACAGCATGCAGTGGTTCATACAGGCGAGCGGCCTCATCAGTGCCACTTGTGCTCGATCAGCTTCAATCATAAGTCCACATTGAATAAACATCTTCGCACCCACACCGGCGAGCGGCCATATAAATGCCACTTGTGCCCTCAAAGCTTCTCTCAAAAATACTGCTTGGATGTTCACCTGAGAATCCACACGGGTGAGCGGCCACATAAATGCCCTACATGCGCGCAAGAATTCTCGCAAAAGCACAAACTAAAGCAGCATATGCGGATCCACACAGGCGAGAGGCCGTACAAATGCCATGTGTGCTGCCGATGCTTCGCTCAACGATCCCAATTGAATGTTCACCTGCGTGTCCACACGGGCGAGCGGCCGCATAAGTGCCCGTCATGCGCCCGGACATACAAGCAGAGTTGCCACCTCAGAAGGCACCTGCGTCAGCATGAATGCCAGTAGTCATTTTATCAAAAGCTCTGCCGCTTGCTGTTTTGTTTTGGTTCCTGTAAAGGTACTTATGACTGTTTATCCTTAAGTACTGTGGCAGTGTGTTGCTACATAGTGTAACGTTAAAGCTGTGGTTTTAGTCATCATATCATGGATTAATTATTTGCCCTCGAACATCGTCATGCATGCAATGTATGCATTTAATGTAATCAAAACATTTTGTTCTTTTTTTTATACTTCTTTGCAGTATATGCGAGCTGAATGAAAACCCGTGTAATTGTGCTTGTGAACAACTACACTTGCTCATTGTCAGCTCAGTATCCTCTCCAAGCTAATCACTATAACGCACTTGAAACCATGGCACCATTATACTACTGCCAAGTAGGCCACCTACCAAATACATAGGTGCATTCTGCGTAATTGCTGATGAGAATTGCAAATTGAAACGTGTGTGCGCTATGTTACTTGGAACTGTAAATAGTTAGTGGCATGAATTCTGTACATTGTCAGGCATTGTATATAGGCTCTTGAAATGTCGAAGTATATCCTGTTGCAAGAAAGTTGTGTCTGCTCAATTAGAACCAAAGCAGATGCCTTGTTGTGTGGGATCTAGATAACATTTTCGAGTTTATGAGCATTGAACAGTTTAAGCTTGAATAGAAGTATGCCTGTTTCATCATCATCTTGGAATCCCTTTCTATCAATTTTGTAATTAGACTAGATGCCTGTAATTCTGTTTTTTTTTAAATTGGTAACAAAATATGTTCTATAAAACAACACATTGAAGCCACTTCACTACAACTTCACATTCATGTAATATCACTCAGATTTTGATCCTTCAAATGCGAAGTGTTAAAAGTTTACTTGTTTAGTTATGAAATGTTGTCTTTCATGAGGAACTGTTCCTTACTTATCCAACTTGTGCATTACTGGTGGCTTCTGTATAGTTGATTTGTACAGTATTATATTTATTGTATGCTAAGAGTGCTGTTGCCTATGTTTTGTACTGTCGGATTCTTTGCAGCTGTTCTCTTATTGCCTGTGGTTATTATGCTTTAGACCTTTCATTGCTGTTTTGTGCTCAAATACTTTGTTGCACCTATGAAGAATTTGTCACTGGATCATTGCTGTGTTGGCCATCACAGTGTTTTGGCTTTGTGTTGTCAGTAATCTGCATTCTTGGCACTTCAATGCTTGTGCTAAAACTATATATGGCATGTCACGATTAACGCTGCAATACAAGTTGAGTGATGGATGCGATACGCTCATTTGTCGTTTCAACTAAACGAATCCGCACTTACAAAATTTCATGATTTCATCAGTGGCAAAGATTGTTTTGGAATTGCTGTGATCCATCTAGTTTTTTTATACACCACCTGTACTCTTGTCATTTACCTCGTACCAAAACGTAAGCCCCACTATTTCAAAGCAATAAAACATGTGAAGAATTTAGAATTCAGGCCAAATATATGTTTTAATCTGTGCAGCATCGTTTGTAGTTAGTACTTTGGGTTATACCATAATACAATGTACACAATAACTTATTGTCTATGAAATATGGAAGACACTATTTCTGTCAAGCTAATGTTTTAAAATCTAGCCTCCTTGAAAGGTGCTTTTTTTTAATAGCAGAGCTGCTGCAGTCGAGACTTGCCATGGCTCGATTTGCCAAAGACGTGAAACAGCACTTTTTCTGGCTGTAAATGAAGCTGTAAACGTTTTCGCGCTTGTGTAATGAAAGTAGGCATCAATCAATGTCTATCTTTTGTGGCAAACTAAACTTAAATGAATCAGTCTCTTCAGAATTCGGCATACACAGTTGTGTAAAAAAGCGAAATTAGTATTGTTCGTTGTCGGTTTTTTAGCTTCTGTCTGGCCACCTAGTAGCCATTGCTATAAAGTTGCCGTCAAAACTCGCGGTAATTTTGTCGTCAACAAAAGCGTGTGTATGTTGCCTTATTCTGTGCGGGTGCTCTTTTTTAGCGTTATACAGTGTTTTGTGTGCTTCGCTAACTTTGTTTTGATGTTCATTGTGCCTGTGTGCATTTAACACTTGTCTTAATAAGGGGAGTGCTACCATTTGGGAATGAAACCAACAATAATAAAAGATTTCTGACAGGTGTGCGCCTCTCGCTTCCTTGGTTAGTTGGGCATCTGCAACAGCTGTGCGGAAACGCGCTGTCAGGCATTCCTAATGGAGCCTGCGTCAGCAGAGCTGTTGTGGACGTTCAAATGAACCTGTTCAACAACGAAAAGAACAAGCCTGACTAATCGGTCCAACACAGAAGTGAAACGTGTCTTGAGGAAGGTAGTCGAGCGTTTAGTGCAGTTTCGCCACAAGATCTAAGGATCTAATTGTAATGTCTAAGGATCTAATTGTAACTAATTGTAATGTCGTGCAAAGAATGGAGAGCTGCCCGAAACTTGTAGCACGTTCCTCAAGCAGAAAGGACGCATGAAAAGAACGTACACAGGATGAGCGTGAACTGACAACTTTCACAGCCCAACTGAAGCACTCTGCTCAAACCCTAAGAAGGACGCACAAAACAATTGTACAATTACACACCAGACGAGCGCTAACAAATTTCACAATTGTTACTTGAAGTGAGCTGCGTGCTCCTTTGGCAAGCGCGGCCGCTGCAGCGAGCGTTTAAACTCCCCGTCGTGCTCTAACTTCAACGCACACTTGCAATGAAAGCCCAAAATGTAATCCAAACTGCCACGATCACGAGATAAGTGTGGGCGCTGTGTGGGCGTTCTGTGGTGTGGAAGCCCTAGCTGTTGCGCAACGCATGGCACGACGACTTAAAAAGCGCGCCCTGCAGAAATTTCGCGCCAGTGGTAACCAGGACACGCTGAAATCGAGTAACCTTTAGCAAACTGAGGAACGTATGCTTTGAGGCCTAGTCGGTTCGCGCCACACTCGGAAAAGCGAGAGCTCGTAGTTCCGACTCCCGGTGACGAAGCGATGCCTCATCGTTTTCTTCTTTGCGACCTCTTAGTATATCTTTTACGTCATTATATCTGTGATCATGGGCGTCGGCGGGGAGGTGCAAAAGGGGCACTTGCCCCCCTAGAACTTCACCAGCACTTGCCCTCCTTCAAGCTATACCAGTGCTTTCCCCCTCTCCCAGCCACAATGCAACACTGGTCTGCACCCCACCCCCCCAAAAAAAAAAAATCCTGCTGACGACCACGTCTGTGATTGAAGCACATAACTGGAGCCATGGTGAATACCGGCATAAAACACTTGTGTGTTAAAGAACCTCGCCTGCACTAAAAATATTTCACTCATGTCATTGGCATGCAGTGGCAAAAAGGGGTGACCACATTCTGGGTCCCTTGCACCCGGCGGCAGCATTTTTATCAGCTGTAGCACTGCTCGCTTGGAAAAGCGGCACCACGACAGAATCAAATTCTGCCGATCCTTGTGAATTGTGCTTGATGATTCGCTTCATCCTGTGTAGAATCTTTCACACGGCCAGCAATATCGGCCATTCAAATTGACGATGTAGTAGGTAAAGGTTTGACTTTATCCTCCGGCAGTCAAGTGCTAATATAAATTTACCTAACTACAAGATTGGTCACTGATATTACACCATGAGCTATCGGTAAGTTTCACATGGTAATGCGGGTCATGGTAGGAAAGTTTCCGCTGCGGTGTCAAACGCCAAGACATAAGTTTATTTCCTCTCCATGTAAAGAACAATGATTCAGTAATCTGAATGTTCTCTTTGTGTAGCTTTGGGGTCTGATGTCTACAGCGACTACAGATGCTGAGAACTCGCATCGAGCGCGCCGCCACCAGTGTAACTTGTGTGACTATGCGACTGACATGCCACTTGAAACGACACATTAGGCTTCATACAGGCGAGTGTCCATTTCAGTGCTACTTCTGTCCACACAGCTGCAAAGCGAAAGCCGCACTGGACGAGCACCTGCACACGCGCACAGGCGAGCGACCATGTAAATGCCAATTGTGTCCCCAAAGGTTCTGCTGAAAATCGGGATTGAATGATCATGTGCGTGTCCACATGGGTGAGCGGCCACATAAATGCCCCGCTTGCCCACAACAATTCTCACAAGCATTCAAAATAAAGAAGCACACGTGCATCCACATGGGCGAGAGGCCGTATAAGTGCCGTATGAGTGATTGAAACACTTGACGCTCTCAAAAGCAATAACTATTCCGAAGGTATAAATTAGTTGTGACAAGGTAACCTATTCGAATCCCTTGCAAACAGAAGGCTGCATTTTATGTCGTAGGAGTGCCTTGTTTCGGCTTGATAGTAATTCATATATTAGTGTGTTCTGTTTATAATCTCTTTGTTCCCTCTTTCTCATCTGTTGAACATTTCACCGCGTATTGAAGAACTGAGGTCACCTTTCGTTGAATATGTCGTTACTTTTCGTTAATGGATGACTGTGTTATTTTGCGTCTTCCAACTGATGCACGATATAATCCTATAGTGTGACGATAATCTATTTATTCTCTCTATATTCTAGCAAGTAGATTTTCTAGAGCTCTTGTATCACTGTGTATGACGCTATGTATAATTGGCGTGACGTGGCTCGTACACCATCTTTATTTCATTTCACTTCACTTTTCCCTCCTCAGCTCCTCCTACCACAGCTTCATGTGTTACACGATCTCCCCTCCCCGCTGAAAAGAAGCGTAAATGATAAACAAATTTATTTTTTTATTTTTATTTATTTATTTAATACTGTAAGCCTTTCTCAGGCTCATACAGGGTGGGCGGGCAAATATACACAGTCGCGTACAAACCAGGCAATATTGCACATAGCGAAAGAAACAGAATCACAAGATGATGGTGAAAATAAAACTTGAACGTTGAAAGCAATTGTACAAAATCATGGACAGTTCCCAAAACATCGAGGTATCAGCAGGGGGTACAGTGGTCAGTGTGTTCCGAAGCGCTCACAAACATCAAAAAACAAAAGTTGCTTTTAGTCTTCATAAAACAGGCTGTCTACATTCCGAACAAATGAA